TCGTGTCTCCAGAAGTTGGTGACGGGGAAGCCCCCATGGCCTCGGCAAGGAATCAGCTTCAAAGGCCCATTACAGTTGGGACAACTTTTCTCTACAAAAAGCAAAAGAAAGTGATGGTACGTGGCTGGCTGAGCCACATGGGGCACTTATGAACCCTGCACAGACTCAACTTCTGTATGGTAGCAAATACACCTGGGTGGTTTTATGGACTTCTGTCTACGGGGTATTATCCCCCCAGACCAAAGAATACCTGGCCACCATAATGGCCTAGATTGGTCTTATACATGGATACAGCAAGATGCTACCTTCTAAGTGGGGTATGGGTGGTTAGCAGGTCAACAAGGAGCTCTTTTGAGCAGAAAAAGGTCTCCCTACTTATTTGCTGATATTTAAAATTCTTTTAGAGTAGAGAAAAATTTTCTTTCATTTTACAATTGAACTAAGGATCAAGGGGAAAAAAACCCCTGGGAGAGAGAACACAGCCATTCAATTTTTACTAGGGTATGAATGACTAATAACAGGTTCTGACCAGAGAGCAAGTTTTGGAAACAAATTACTAGGAAAGAATGTGAAATAACTTGGGGTCTGCAGTGGGCTTTGGAACAGGGAACGCGAAGAGTGTCTATTTCACAATCCATGAGTACAGAAAATAAAAAGAACAAACATTTCAGCTTGTGATAATGATATGAACCTAAGTGGACAGATCTAAATCTAACTTTAAATTAAATTAATCCCACGACTGCCCCTCCAGATGAATGCATGCATTAAGGTCACACGGGGGCTCATTGCCAAGATGTTAGATGGCAAGTCTGATAAACCACTTCATATTAAACTTTTACTTTCTAATTCTACTAAACTTCACATGGGTCACTGATGAGTTCATGACAGAAGTTGTGATCTATCTTCTTTTTAACAAGGGGCTTACATCAGGTGCCTAACCCAAGGGAGCAGTTTCTTGGTGGGAGCTCTGGATGTGTAGATCTGTGAGGTTGGGGAACAAGGGAGTGGGTTGGTTCCCCCGAATGTACTCAGCCTCGCTCCCCACTGCACTCTAGTGTGAAGGGTTTGTTGGGATGTAACACAGCCTTTAGGATGTGTTGGGAGATACTGGCCCATTTGGACAGGGGCATCTAGAGGGACACCAGTTTCCTTGCCAGTACCACCAAGTCCCACTCACTCTGCTGCTTCTGCCGGGCTTTGTCACAGATCGCAGGTCTCAGGTAGACCTTGCGCCCCTCCTTGGTAGAGCAGTTGTGGCCGCACACCACCACACCCAGACAGGACTTCTTGAGGATGCGAGAGTTGTGGTTGTTCGTGTTGCGCATGGCCCAGCTGCTCAGGTGTCGCTGCGCATTCCTGTCCTCTGAGCTGTAGATGTGCTTCACATAGGAATCTGGCCACTCCTGGAACCAGTCAGTCTTTTTCACATTCTGATAGAAACACAAAGGTGGCTATTAGAGTTCGAGCCCTAAAACGCAACCGTTCATCATGGAAGAGTCAATAGACATGAGGGACGATTCGGCCATCGAGAGCAAAGCATGAGACCGCTGGCAAGTCTGGCCTAGACTGAATCCTGGAGATGATATCTGCACAGCACAACAGCTGCAGAGAGACTGCTGTGTCTGTCCAGTCGCTGAACCAAAATAAGCTGGAATTTAGGCCCTTTGAGTTCTATCTGATTGATGTTTCTGTAGTCCTTGGTGATAAAAGTAATGACCATTTCTAAGGAAGAATTTTTGAGAGTGAAGTAATCACTGTGCTCTTTCACAATAACTAAGGAAAACTTTGTAACTGGTCAGTAAGATAATGTCTCATACCACACTGCGGTTACCTTGTTGGGAATCCCACAGGCTTATGCAAAGTCACTAGAGATAAGCAGTGGGGAGACTGGAGGGCCCTGATTCACAAAGGTCCCAAGAGTCACTTTATTCCCCACTTTATTTCCCTTTTTCTCTATCACTGTATATGTATGCCTCAAATGGCAGAGGACTCAGGAAGGAGCTGTATTCTGGCCCAGGACAGATGCTATTCCCTGTGTATGAACATCTGATTAAACTCTTCTGTGTAAGGTCAGAGATGAGGCAGCTATTATCCAATGGATACAGAATTTTAGTTTTACAAGATGAAAAAGTTCTAGAGAGGGGTTACATAACAAAGTGCATGAGGTAACCATTTCTATACCATATACTTAAAAATGGTTAAAATGGCTGGGTGCAGTGGCACATGCCAGTCATCTCAGAGACTCTGGAGGCTGAGGCAGGAGGAATCCCAGGTTTGAGGCCAGCCTCAGCAGCTTAATGAAACCCTGCCTCAAAATAAAAATGTGGCTCAGTGGTTAAATGCCCCAGGGTTCAATTCCTGTTTTTCTAAAAAAAAAAAAAAAAGTTAAGTTGGCAAATTTGTACCATAAAGTAATAATAAGGCTGGCATGTTGGCACACAGGCACACACCTATAATCCCAGCTACTCAAGAGGGTTGCAAGTTCAAGGCCAGCCTCAGCAATGTATTGAGACCCTGTCACAAAATTAAAAAGGGTTGGGGATGTAGCATCCCTGAGTTCAAAGCTCAGTTCTGCAAAAATAACAAAAACAAAAGTTCAGGGATACAGATCCTTAGTTATTTTGCTTTCTATGCTTCTGTTTCTTCATCTGTATAACAAGGATAATGAGACCTGCCAATCTCAAGAGTTGTTCTGAGGGTTAAATATAAAATATTTAACATGACACCTGCCATGCTGTGGGCCCTGTGTAGATGTTAGCCACTGACAGAACAGTTCACATCCCAGGCCCAACAATGGTAACAGATGCTGCATTTGACAGATCCTGCATAATTCTTAGAATGAAATGAGCAGTCAGAATTACACAACTGTCAAATAACTAGCAAGAACACTTTTCCTCCAGAAGATTGTGGAAGATCAAAATAGAAAATTCTAGAAGGCTCAGAGGAAGAGATCAGGGTGCCTCTCCAACAGGAAAGCACAGTCCAGAATATGAGAAAATAAAGCCAAAAATTTTTTAGAAATAAGAACACAAATATCAACCTCAGGATGGATAGGCGTTTACTGAGTTACACTTCAAGTTTAGAATATGCCAAAGAACAGGAAGCAGCCCCAGAGGAGAAGGGAGGAAGGTTGGAAAGCACACAGAGTGGCATCTGGAGAAGTCCCGCTGGTCCATTAGGCATCCCAGAGGAAGGTGCAGCCAGACTTGTCTCTCTGTCCTTTCCAGGACTTTCCCTTTCTTCCCCAGTCCCCTGGCAATTCTGAGCTTCATAAAATTTAATGCCTGGGGTGAAAAGCTGCCAGCCAGCCTCCAACCTCTTGCTTTCTCCACCCACCTTCTCTTTGTTCTAACTAAAATCCTACATAATGCTCTCGTTTTGTCCCATAGAAATGCCATAGAAAGTGTAACAGAGTATTTTATTATTTGAAATGATAAAAAGTGCAAATTAAAACATTAAAATATGTACTTATCTTTCATTATTTGGACTATGAAAATATGGTAGATTGAAATTGTTTGGATTACTGCACTATAATACATAGTTATCAGAGTAACAGAGACAGGAGAAAAGAGGGACTTAGAGAAAAGTTGAGATTTTTAAAGACAAGTGTCCTCTTCGGGCTGATCTAGGTCATAACTTCTATGACCCAGAATACGAGGAATAAATCTATTAGCATCTTAGATATTCTGACTAAAGCAAAGACACCCTTCCTGTGGAGGAAGAAGTGATCTCCACATCATCTAATCTATTTATTTCTGCAGGGTGTCCATTGGCACCCTGGTTTTCAGGATTCATGAATAATACTTTAATTCAGATTCATGAGTAATAATCCATATACTTGATAGTATATGGATGGAGAAAATCTCTAAGAGTCAATGTGATCAAATGATTCTCTTGGCTATTTATTTGTGCCCAGTCTGGCAGTACTGGGGATTGGATCCAGGTGCGCTCTATCATTAAGCCACATCCTTAAACCTTTTAAATTTTATTTTGAAACAGAGTCTCACTAAGTTGCCTAACCCTCAAATTCACAATCCTCCTGTTCCAGCCTCCTGTGTAGCTGGGATTACAAGCACCACTGCACCCAATCTTTTAATCTGACAGTTAGTGGGATTTTTGACACCTTTTACTTTGAAATTATGAGAAAATTCAGATTCCAATAATGCAAAACAACTTAAGAGTCAAATGGATGACAGTGATTTCTCAGGCTCTGATTTTCTCAGACTAAGATTTTCTTGCAGTCCTGGGGATTGAACTCAAGGCCTCACATGTGCTAGGCAAATGCCCTACCACTGAGCTATGTCTGCAGGCCTGAATATGAGAAAAGAATTTTTGAAAGCCATTTAAATTTAAGGCATCAGAGAGGTAAAATTTAAAATGAAAGAATAATCATTTCTTAATCTTGTTTAGCAAATCCCCATAAAATATTTGCTTCTTTTTAGATCCTTTGTTTATCTTAATTTCTAACTTTTCATGAGTAACTCTTTGTTTTTCCTCTTAGTTAAGTAGATTTAATCTTCTAACTCACTCAAAGCTTTCCAAGTGCTATGTAATCAGAGCACTGTTTATACTCTCTTAATTCTAATTTAACTTAACCTCTTGAAATTTTGGTAGGGTGTTGTAAGAATTAGAGATTATTTTTTCTTTGTGGTATTGGGGGCACGTTATCACTGAGCTACAAACTCAGCTCTATTTATTTTTTACTTTGAGACAGGATCTCGCTAAGTTGCCTAGACTAGCCTCAAACTTGTGATTCTTCTGCCTCAGGCTTCTGAGTAGTTGGGATTACAGGGAGATGTCACCACACCCAGCTAAGAATTAGATATTACTGCTATGTAAGAGTAATAAATTTAGACTCAGTTTTTGAAATATCAAAATGATTTACGTTAGGTCATTTTATCAAAATTGAGATGGGTATGGTGATGTCTACCTGTAATCCCAGCTACTCAGGAGGCTAAAGCAAGAAGATTGAATTTAAGGCCAGCCTCAGCAATTTGGAAAAAACCTGTATCAAAATAAAAATGAAAAGGGGGCCTGGGGATGGGGCTTAGTGTTAGAGTACTTGCCTCAAATGTGAAAAGCCCTGGGTTCCATCCCCAGGACTGGGAAAAAAAAACAAAAAACCACTGGTATTTATAGAGCACTCATATAAAGCAATGATTTGCTGGGTTTTCCTTAATTATATGGATAGATTATTAAATCCTTATAATAAATATTTCCAAATACAGAAGGCACAGCAAACAGAAACACCTTTAAGCAAATCAAATATAGGGAAAAAATTAGATGTGACTTAGAGAAAAAAAAAAATCAAGTAGCATATTGATCTACATAAAACTTTCCGGGAACTTCTCTCTTCTGGGCCAACTGGAAATAAAACTCCAAGTATCATCAAGGAAAGAAATTCATTCCAACAAAATGCATTTGATCATCTTAGAATGATTCCTTACATTAAACTTGCTATTTCCTACATGAGTTCAGGAACCACAACTCAGGATAAAATTCCTTATTTGCTCTGAAAAAACTAAGTGAGACCAAGTTACTCCAGCTTCCAAATTTTTTGTCGCCTACTTCTCTCTTCTCTTCTGCCCTTCCTTTCCCTCTTCACCACCTCTACTGGAGGAAACCTGGGGGAGTGTCTGTACTTCCACAGTGGAAAGAACATTCCTATCCCCATCACAGCAGCAGCCCAAAGTGGCAGAATTCCGGCCCTAGTAGTGGGAACCCAAATAACCATGGGAGTCCATATAGGTGAAGCTGTGCCAAGAACGTTCACATGACCTTGAGGTCCAAAAGACTGCTAGGTAGAGGGTCAAGTCATGGGTGTCCCCATCAGACCAACAATGTGACCTGATCATGTAGTCAAATTATAATTGACAAAAAATCCAGAATCCGGTTTCTCTGTTAGCTCCTTAGCATCAAGACACAAGATTCCTACAGTTGCTTTGTTCTGATTACATTGAGTCTTATGAATTAGCAGAAAAGTTTACAAGTTGCTTTTGCTCACAATTTTGGGATCATCTTCTGCAGAGTTAAAGGAAATTTTACTAGGTAAAATCATAATCCAGGAACCAACAAATTGGAGTGACAGTCCTTTCATACCCTTTTTTTTTTTCTACTAGTCTATTCTAGGAAATGTTTTCTTTCTTTCTTTTTTTGGTAGCAGGGATTGAACCCAAGGGACACTTAACCACTGAGCCCATCCCCAGCCCTTTTTATTTTTTATTTGGAAATAGGATCTCTCCAAGTTGCCTCACTAAATTGCTGATGCTGGCTTTGAACTTGTTGCTGGGATTTTAGGCATGCCCCACCATGCCCAGATGGGGGAATGTTTTCTTTACCGAAAACAAAGTACTTAAAACGTGGAGTTGGGCTAGAGTTGTAGTTGATTGGTAGAGTACATGCTTAGTATGCACTAGGCTATGGTTTTAATCCCTAGGATTATAAAACAAAAACAATCAAGAAACCCCTGGAATCATGTGAGTTAATTGCTTAGTGTGGCTTTGGCCATGGATTTGATCTGAAAACTAGTCAGGGCTTAGGAGCAAAATGATTCAGTGTGTTTTCTGCTGTGGTGTTATTGAAACAACAGATTTCTGCTTGGAAGAACTGGCTGGTGTTAGGAACAGAATGGATACTTAACCTCCCTCTGTGGAATGGGTACTTTAAAGTAGAAAAAGAAACTGAATTACTTCCTAATTTTCAAACAAAAAAAAATAAATTTCCTACAAGGCTCTTCCATAAATGTTATAATCGGTTTTAATGAGAGCGTGACACTCTTTGGGACCACATAATCTACATTTTTAATGAAGGTAAAAATAAATCAATGCCCAACATTTGCTGTATGAACCAAGCACTCACTAAAGCAATTGGAATGGAACTTTCCAGTATACGTAATGTAAGGGGAATGAAAGGGAAAACAAAATTGATGGATTACGTTGGCTTAGAGAAAAGAGACTTTTATCGGTGATTCCTATACTTCAGGTACCTACACTTCTGCTTCCTAATGGCTGTATTAAGCAGAAATTAAATTCAAATAGAAACAGTGACATGAAGATTAGTAAAGACATAATACAGAAGAAGGAGGAGGGTTCATCTGGGTTCAATGCCCAGATGTCCAGAAAGAGTTACTGAGAGCAGGTGGAGTTGGAGGGATGGGGCCTTTCTATGCCCAGGATCCGAACAGGATGGTTTCCAGTGCAACAACCTAATGGCTTCTCACTACCTATATGATAGCACTGTCTTCTAGGGATAGCCCACTTCCAACCCACCTGTCCAGCCAGTAACACCCCAAATATTCTTGCTGAATTCCTTTGCATGGCTCCCTCAGGTGGAGACATCTAAGAGTCTTCAGATTTTGGTGCCCTATGCTTTCCCTTGATGGTCAAAGCCATTTGCTAGAGGCTCTGTCTTGTTCCCATGCCAGAGTCAGGCTGAACACGTATCCCTCTTTCAAGCTCCTCTAGCATTTTTCTACTTGGTGTTAATTCTCTATATAGACACTGTATTTGTTCCACTAGACCAGAGATGGAAGTCAACATAGCCAAATGGCCCCAGCATCTCTCTGCCTGCTCCAGGGGACATCACTCTCACTGTTGTCAAAACTTAATCCACACATCTTGATATATCTGAGGGATATAAAAGGATGCAGAGATTCTAGGCCTGGAAGATTAGCCAATGGGTAACCAATTACCCAAAATAACCAGTTAGCATTTACTGATTGAAACTGGAAGCATGTGAGAAGCTGAGAACAGGTAAAGAATTTGTACCATATGTTGCCGAAGTAAATTGTTCCAGCAAGAATATAAAATTATGAAAAATAAACCATGAATTATTTTTATAGGTGGGAGAGAAAATGTAATTGAGGAAATTTATATGAAGAAGATATTGCATTTGACTCTGAACCACAGTTTTTTTGTACAAGCTGGAACATTAATAATCTGTGGGTCTTCATGCAAAAAGAGGCCCATGGTGAAAATATTTTAGGGCAACACCTCTTAATATGACCTTATCTCAGGAGAGCCATTACACACAGGATGGAATAATAGAATACAGATCTGCAGTAAAGAAATTTGTTTAGCTTCTTTGAACTTAACATTGCCCCTTTACTTTCTCAGCAAGACCTTTTAAAATTCCTTGTAATTTGTATTCTACAAATTGGGAAACACTGCTCCAAATAGCTTAGAGATTGAGGCAAGATATGTAAGAAGGTATCAAAGACGTAAGAAAAATGATTTTGTTCAGAGTCACACAGACATTAGGCAATACAGCTACTCACCAATGAATTCTAGAATTATTAGTTGGAACTCAAGTCCAGGGCTATCTCTAAGTCCTAAGTTTTCCATAATGCACTACAGTGCTTCCAGATATGTTCTAAAAAATAAAACCTTTTGTTTGAAAATCTTTCTCAGATCTTTTATTTTTTACCTCAACTGATTCTTAAAAATAAAAAATGTCTTTACCTTTATTTTATTTTTATGTGGTGCTGAGGATCAAAACCAGTGCCTCACACATGCCAGGCAAGCACTCTACCACTGAGTCACAACCTCAGTCCCTCAACTGATTCTTGATATAATTTCAGAGGTGGCTGAATGGTGTGGTCTCTGCTCAGAAATTAAGAAATATTTGTACTTTTTAATCATTTCCATGGTATATTTAACAAGTTGAAGGCACTTAACTATTTCCCTAAATAATCTTGGTATATTTTCTATAAACTTTAAATGATATGTTTCCAAAACTGAATCTATATTTTCACACTAGATTTCTCAGTTTACTCTCTCAGGTAACTAAGAATGCCTTGTTTTTGGAAATTCATGTTGGAACATGAGCTTCTATGAGCCCGAGTTTCCCTTCAGGGAAGTAGTTCTTTTCCTTTTTTGTTTATGGATCTGATGAGTGATATGGATCCTCTGTCCCAAGGGGGAAAAAAAAAAGAAAGAAAGAAAGAAAGAAAAGTGTGTGTTAACACACAGTATTGCCTACCACTTCAAGGAGATCTCTGATTCTACTGAAACCCTGCCCTAGAATGTGACATTGCAACATCTTCCATGCATCTGCTAACTTCAGTTCTTGATGTTTGTGTATCTCCAACTTCTATTTATGAGTTGCCATCTTAAAATTAGAAACAGGAAAAATAAGGGTCCCAGAGCTAGGAGTAATTAAAAGTTACCTTAGAGCATCTCTACAACAGCTATAAAAATTGTAATACAAATTAAGAGCAGTTATAAACATAAGTTCCTGAAAATAGACACGGGTATGTTTTAGCTGTAGTTCATTTAGCCACCTTCAGGTGAGTAGAAAATAGGTACATTTTCCATTCTTCACCCCTCCCAAGACCTACCAAGGGAGAATACAAGAGGACTTTAAGGAGAAACAAAAGGACATCTTCATTAAAGTAAAAATACCAATTGGTTATAAATCAAGACTCTGGAATCTCTGTCTCCTCTCCTTTGCTTGGGGTAATTCAAATTCCTTGCTCCCAGAATCAGGCAAACTAGATGAACCTTTTCATTTCTTGGTACTAGTTAGTCTCCATCCCTAGTCTTCCTAGTCTCCTTTTCAAATAACCTCCAGTGAAAACATTATTAAAACTCCCAAAAGAGAGGACAAGGAAGCCAGGAATGTTTATACATGGAAAAATCAGTTTTAAACAACCAGTGCTTTCAATCAAATTAAGACTTAGAAAGTCAATTACCAAAGAGGAGGTCAAAGAAAATTTAAAATAAAAGGCATTCTATATCTAAAATTCAATCCAGTTTGGCTGTGTGGTATTTACAGAAGTCATACAAGAGCATGTCATATTCCACAAAAACGCCATCAGTCAGACATTGCAGCTACAAGCCATTATTATAAGATAAAATGGTGTGGGATCTTGTGTACAATGAAACACAAATAAATTGTCATGCATTTGATCATACCAACTGGCCAGGGTGAGTACAACCTGAGCAGGGCAGCTTAGGAAGAGAAAGGAATTAGCACACTCTTTGTCTCAGTCTAGTATTGGGAGGATCTGATAGGTACAGAGCTGCTCAAATCATGTCTCCTCTTAAACTTTCTCAGTTGAGCTGGGTGTAGTGGTGCACATGTATAAATCCTGGTTACTCAGGAGGCTGAGACAGGAGGATGGCAAGTTCAAGGGCAGCCTGGGCAATTTAGTAAAACCCTGTCTCAAAATAAAATGTAAAAAGGGTTGGGATGTGACTCAGTGGTAGAGCACTTGTTTAGCAAGCATGAGGTCTTGGTTTCCATTTATTGAAAAATAAACAACAACAAAATCCTCCATCAGATGTCTACTGAAGGTCTAAGGGAGTTCACACAACTGGGACCCTCACCAATTTCCTTTTAGGTCTTAGCAGGTTAATAACAGTCAAGGATTCATAGCCAAATGCAGAAGATAGTCCTATAGCAAGTACATACCTGTGGCAGTTTCATGTCATTAATGTCCCAGTTTAATACCTCTTTGTCTTCAGAATCAAAGTCTTCAGGTTCCATGATAAAGTCAGGTCACCCACACGTTTTCCTCTATTCAATTTCCTTCAATTTGACCTTGAGAATTTGCTCTCAAAGGTTCTTGATATAGGTGGATTAGCCTATTCAAGCAACATAAACAGAAGATTGTTTTCAGAGGCTAAAAAATAAATGATAGTAAGTAATATCAACCATTCAAGAGATAAAAACCAGTTTCATATGCCAGAAATATCTGATTCACCAACATTTTTTTCAAGTTCCAACATATTAATAAAAAAAAATATAGAAGCTACTAGTGAGCTTGTTAAAATAAACCTTGACCATTGGGAACTAGAAGTACAGAGATCATCATTTTGACTCTTGGGTCTGGGCTTCCTTTCTCATTGCTAGGTTATAGAGTTAGTTCTTAGTAAGAACTACTGTTGTGTGTAGCAAATGGTTAGGACCCTTTTCTTCATAAATGTTAGGGCAGGGAAGGATAACTGCTTTGGACTTTTTTCCACAGAAACAATTTCACAAATTAGTTACCATGAAGTTACACAAGGGTAACATCACATTGGATTTATCTGGAAGCCATAGAGATTAATTTTGGTCTCCCAAATATGTCTGTGGATGTTCAATACCATCATCAAATATTCTCTGAAACATGGTTTCTTAACCTTAGCACTATGGACATTTTGGATTAGGTAATTCTTTGTTGTGGGGGCTATCTTGCACATTTTAGAATGTTTAGCATTATTCCTAATCTCTACCCACTAGGTACTGAGGGCACCTCCCTTTTCAGTTGTGGTACCTCAAAATATCTCCAGACCAATTTTCAGGAGACAGGGGCTAAAGGCGGCTGTTCAAGAAGTGCTGTTTTAAAATAGTGTTTCTGGGGGCATTGTGGTGCATGCCTGCAATCCCAGTGGCTCAGGAGGCTAAGGCTGGAGGATTGCAAGTTCAAAGGCAGCCTCAACAACTCAGTTAGCAAGGCCCCAAACAACTCAGTAAGACCCTGTCTCAAAATAAAATATAAAAAATGGGCTGAGGATGTGGCTCAATAGTTAAGTGCCCCTAGGTTCAATCCCTGGTACCAAACAATAACAAAAAAATAACATAGTGTTTCTCCTACTCAGGAGCTAAGGCAGGAGGATCAAAAGTTCAAGCCCAGCCTCAAAATGAGAAGGGCCAGGGATCTAGTTCAGAGTGCCCCTGAGATCAGTCTCCAATACAACAAAGTAAATAATAATTCAATTCTAGATTTAAAGAAATTTTGCGTGGTACTAGGGATTAAATCCAAGTGTGTTCTATCACTGATCTACACCCAGTCCCCCAGCCCTTTTGAGACAGATCTTATTTTGAGACAGGTCTTAGGAAGTTTCCCAGGCTGCTCTCAAATTTGTCATCTTCCTGCATTAACCTTCCTAGTTGCTGAGATGATAGGCATATGCAATCACACTGAGTCTAAATTAAAAATTTTTTTAAAGGCCGTGATATAGCTCAGTGGCAGAGTGTCCCTGGATTCAATTCCCAGTATTGAGGAGAGATGTTTAAAGCACACTTGAAGATTCTCTGACTGTAGCGAGGCCTGGTGGGCACACCTATAATCCCAGCCACTCAGGGGGACAGCCTTGGTAATTTAGCAAGACCCCCCATCTCAAAATAAAAAATTAAAAGGGCTGGGAAAGTAGTAAAGCACCCTGGGTTCAATCTCCAATACTGAAAAAAAAAAAAGCAATTAAAAAGATTTTTTTGACTATCTTCAACAATAGCTCTCTCCCCACCTTCTTAAAAAGATGCTGTCTAACTTCTTTGATTAAATTGTATTATGTAAATGATATCTAAAAAATGTTTGTTTGAACTGAAATTTTTTCCTTAAAAGAAATACTGCCCTAATTTCCAACTATAATGGGTTTCAAAAGATTTGGGAGTGAGGATGGGAAGAAGGAGGGAAGAAAGGAAAAGAAATTTTGAAATGTTTTCTACGGAGGAAAAAAAAAGCTAATCATTTTGCAGATAAAATGTTCTCGCTAGTAGGATACAAAATCCAAAGTGAAACATGTTCATCTATGAAACACTCTCATTTGTTGGCACTCTTATAAAATCCAGGACATAACAATGCTATATAGAGCCACTTAACAGCAAACTCAAAATACAAGTTATAATAGTAGAATGAAGTTTAGCAATTTCTGCAGACTTTGTTTTTTAATTTATTTTTATTTATTCCTTATACTCACCCATCACCAAACTCCACTGAGGAAAAGTGTATGTATATAAGGAGTGTTAATCTGAACATATAAATGAAATGTTAGCCATTAAATAACAAGCTAAAGTGAGTTCCCCCTCTACCCCTCTTCCCACGCTTAGGAACATCCCAGTGGCCACAGACTCAAAGCACACGAGGTCCCTACTCCCCAGTTCAAACATTAACATACAAGACTAAATGCAGAGAAGGGTTGTTATTGCTGTTGTGATTTTTTTCCCCCCGCAGTGCTGGGTATGGAACCTAGGGCCTTGTGTGTATAATGCAAACCCTCTACCATAGAGCTATACCCTAGACCAACGCCCACGAGTTTTAAGTAAGAAATAAACAATTAAGTTGCTGCTAAAAAAAAAAAAAGATTTTAATTCTAAGGACTTAAATAACAAGTATCAAGCATCAGTTTTATGTACTTACCTCTTTTGAATTGTAGCAATAGTAACTTTTTTTTTTTTTGTACCAAAGATTGAACCCAGGGATACTTCACCACTGAGCCACATCCCAAGCTCTTTATATTTTTTATTTGGAGACAGGGTCTCCCTAAGTTGCTTAGGGTGTTGGCAATAGTAACTTTGATAGCCCAAGTTTTGTTATAAACAATTAGAATAGATTTATTTTTAGAGTAGGAATGTATAGCTCAGTGGTAGAGTACATGCATGAGGTCTTAGGTTCATTTCCCAGCATGGAATAATAAAAATAAATGGATTTTTTTTAAACTTTGGAAAATAAAATTTATATTTTCAAATTCAAAAAACAGCTGGGCTTATAGCTCAGTGGTAGCATAGCAAGCACAAGGACCTGGGTTCATTCTGTAGCATTCTGTAGCACCACAAACAAACAAACAAAACCCATGCTTCATTCTCTTTGGATATGTTCATAATTTACTATCATACATGTATTCCCAATGTTCACCTGTTCCAAAATAAATATAATCGTTGCTTTTAAATTAAGGGAAGGGAGTTATTAAACTAAGGGAAGGGAGCTGGGTACAGTAGCACACACCTGTAGTCCCAGCATGCAGGAGGATCCCTTTGCTTTCAGGACTTCAAGACAAGCCTGGGCAACACATTGAGACCCCCATCTCAAAAATAAATACATGACAAAATTAAGGGAAGAGAAATTTTTTTAAAAAAAGTCATATTTCAGGAAAGCTGTTATTTCTTATATTTTTTCTGATATAAACTTTTGCTAAATGAATGAACATTAATATTTCCCTGAAAAGTAAGAACAAAACAGAAAAGATAAAATGACTAGCCGGGCATGGTGCTGCACACCTGTAATCCAAGCGGCTCAGGAGGCTGAGGCAGGAGGATTAACAAGTTCAAAGTTAGCCTCGGTAACTTAGTTACTAAGACCCTAAGTAACTTCGTGAGACCCTAATCTCAAAATAAAATATAAAAAGGACTGGGGATGTAGCTCAGTGGTTAAGTGCCTCTGGATTCAATCCCCAGTACCAAAATAAAATAAAATAAAATAAAAATATAAAGAAGAAAAAAGACTGCTTTTCAGCCCTTAAACAAGTAAATACAAACCATCTTCCAGGTTAAAAAAACTAAATCTGTCAAGATTTCATTTTTTTTTAAAGCACTTTGGCCAAAGTATATTCAATGTTCATCATTTCTACAGAGAATGAACTATAACATATAAAACCATGTAGGAGTGGGTGCCCATTACCACCACCTTTACATTTACCTCTCTTCTCAATAGTTTTGGCTTCCTTACCTTCTGACTTCTTATCCAGATGTAGACAATATTGTCAAGAACTCATCTCCCGTTCAGGTCCCAGTAAGTTCTGGTCATTTTCCTGTTCCCTATTCCAGGTCAGGGTACACTATGCTAATGAGCTCTGGCAACAATCCAATCAAAATCTAGATGCTCTCAGCTCAGGATAGGTAAAAGCAGCCTGTTTCTTCTCAGCAGCCAACAATGTAATGAATATTCTATGGTGTGCTTCTGAACTTTCCCCTTCTTTATGTTGAGGACCTTGTAACTGAAATGGACATTGAGAAGAACCTTGTGAAGAAGTACAGATGTCTCCCTTCTTGTTTCATAGGGTAAGCCCAAGCAGATTCAATCACTGTAGATCTTCATTCTCTTATCATTTATCCAGCCTGTGTACAAGACAGAAGACAGACACATAGACAGGTAGAGAGATATTATGGTGGTAGAAATTATTGGATTAGAATCCAAATAGCCAACATCTCCTAAACCAGAAATACCAAAATGCTATTCTATCCCTAACAATGATGACAGTAATTCTGAGTGTTCAAATCCCCCGAAATAATACAAATCTTTCTTCTCAAGATGTTCTCAGTGCAGTTCTTCCTTAAGTGCTGCCTCAGTACCAGCTGCGTAAATTCAGTTCATCTGCTATGTTCCAGGTGGTCCACTAGGCTCTGGAGATACCAGGGAGAATTAAAGCCATTAAGTGTCGGGTGTGGTGGCACACCTATAATCCCAGCAATTTGGGAGGCTGAGGCAGGAGGACTGCAAGTTCAAAGCCAAGCCTCAGAAACTTAGCAAGACCTTGTCTTAAAATCAAAAATAAAAGGGGATGTGGCACAGTGGTAAGGTGTGCTCCTGGGTTCAATCCCCAGTGCCAAAATAATATAAAGCCATTAAGAAGTTCACTCTTGGGGCTGGGGATGTGGCTCAAGCAGTAGAGCGCTCGCCTGGTATGCGCGGGGTCCTGGGTTTGATCTTCAGCACTACATAAAAATAAAAAAATAAAGATGTTGTGTCCATTGAAAACTAAAAAAATAAATATTAAAAAATTCTCTCTCTTACTCTCTTTAAAAAAAGAAAAAAGAAAAAAGAAAAAGTTCACTCTAGCTACCTGGGGTGGTGCATACCTGTAATCCCAGT